TCTACACTCGTGCGTCATACATACACATCTATTGCAACGCATATCAAACTTCCAAAATGTATCGGACGCATACACATCAGACTCTACCACCGATATTCCGAGTATTCTGGGTTCGTGTTCGTGTCTCAAGCGTATGCCTATACTCACCGCAAGCCTCATACTATAGCCAGCCCACCCACTCACTCAGAGTGGGGGGACATCTGGACACGCTGTGTCCAAGAAAAACCACGCGTACAATACGACACACAAACAATTTCCAACATTTATCGCAGACACCTAGATTCACGTACAATAGTACGGGGTACCATAGTTCATGTGCATGTCCAATCAGTATCCTTGTTGTGACTGTCCCTCGCATACTCTATGCAAGGCACACGCTGGTATTGGTAGGGCACCAGGACACTCTGTGTGGTGTGAAGGGGAGGTGTACATCCATAGAATACAACACCCAAGGCAAATGTAACCTGTAACGCATGCGGATGATACGAACACACACATACAATGCAAACCCACCCTGTAGCACATTTACATGGTACCTACATACACTACAACACACAATGCAAATCCGTTCTGTAGCAAATTTACATGATACATATGTACAAAACAACACATCATACCAATCCATCCTGTGTCTCTGCTAGGCACACACTGATAGTGGTAGGGCACCAGGACACATTGTGCGGTGTCAAAGGGAGTGACATGCGCTGTATGGTGGAGGATGCGATGGCGCGGAAGGTGGTGTACAATGCTCAGGAGGTGCTTCTGGCTATTAAGAAAGGGCACGACCAACTACAGAGGGTAAGGATGTTACTGCAGGAACACGTAGGATGTGTGTGTGTGCGTGTGTTCAAATGTGTTCAAATGTGTTCAAATGTGTACCGGTCATGTGGTGCTGTGTATACGAACACGCGCCAAAAGAGGTCTGACTGGCTCTCGAATACCTTTTTGTGACAACGCAATGGTGGTTTGTGAATGCATGCGTCTTCGCTCGCATACAGCTTAGGTAGGTAGCTATTTAAATCTGTCCAACTAGCACACTTAGTACGTGTGGGTGTACGGTGGTCAAGCACATGCGGGTGTTTGTGCCGTAGCCGTATTACCTGAGTGGGTGCCTCTGGGTATAGATCAACCATCCCTCTCTGTGGGTGTGTTCTGTATTCTACTTTGTATAGGAGTCCACAAGGCCGCCAACCTGCCAGCATGCGGGCAACAGCCGAGTCGAGGTGTTCTTACGTACCTTGATTTTTTGGAAAAAGCGCTGCCTTTCGGTTGGCCTGTGACACCCCTGGTGAACAGAGTCCGGTTTGCACTACACCATCCACCGCACTTCCATACAGGAGAGTGAACAACCCAATCGAGAGCATAGAATGGGTTACAAACGGATAGCAGCCTCACTCTCTCGCACCCAAGCCAATTGCACTGTGTAGTATTGTATCCTTCTTACAAGCACGCGTATAACGTTAACGTATATTTGTAGCTTCCTTGGCCTGCAGAAATGGTATTGTTTGTTCATCGCAAATATACTGAACATGCACTCAATACGTTTGTTCTGTTTAATAGGGAATAAATATTGAACGCATACATGCATCATACTTATACAAGTCCCTTTACCTACAGCCATTGTAGTGTTTGTTACTGACAATATATTAAACATGCACCTCTTACATGTGCAATGTTTAATCAGATATTGTGTTTCATACTTTTACACATTCACACGTCCCTTTACCTACAGCCATTGTAGTGTTTGTTATTGACAATGTATTAAACATGCACCTCTTACATGTGCAATGTTTAATCAGATATTGTGTTTCATACTTTTACACATTCACAAGTCCCTTTACCTACAGCCATTGTAGTGTTTGTTATTGAAAACGTATTTATCATGCACCTCTTACAGACTGTAGAGGGTTCACATTGTGCAGAGAGCATCGTTTCAATTGGCAACGGTGCAAGTGGTGCTCATGCCCCCTCATTGTCACTCGATGGTATGTCTGTGTACGTTTCAGCTACACACAATTGAGGTGTGTGTGTGTGCATTGTATGCTAGTGTGTGACGTGCTGGACAGTATCGTATTACAGGTATAGTAAGCGTGATTCCAAGGAGAGGCGAGTAAACTTCGGTGCAGCCAACTGGCTACTACGAGGATATCACAAAGTTGCGATCCATGGGTTCGATCCCCCGATTTGCCAAAAAAAAATTCTAGTGGTAGTGTTGTAGCAGCGCTGCTGAGTTCTGGGGACAAGGAAACAAGGGGACCCATGCCTAATAGACGGTTTTTAGTGCTGTTCGCGTGAACGGGGAATGAGAAAGGGGACGTTACTTCTTTTCAGAAATCTACTAGCTTGAGCCGATACTGTACGTCTGATCATGCATGCATTGCCTATAACCCACCACATTCGTTCACCTGCCGACGCATTGCAGCACATACATGTACTGTGTGTGTTCACGTATGTGCATTCAGAACAACTGACTGGTATACCTTTCTACTAACTGCACTTTGGTATTGCGTACGTGTGTGTTTGTACACGCATTTGCGTATCGAGTTTTGGTCGTGCTCGTGCAAGTACGTATCGGCATTTGCACCTCATAGCGTACGGATTTTGCAGAAGGCCAAGATGAGTTATGGAAACCACACGATGTCGCGACACTTGTATGTGCTCTGCTCCACCTACAAACCCTGTAATCATGCAAACCTTATATGTGCTTTTCTTCACTTACAAACCCTGCAACATGAAACATTATATGTGCTTTGCTTCACTTGCAAACCCTGTAACCATGCACACTTTTATGTGCTTTGCTTCACTTACAAACTCTGTAACCATGCAAACCTTACATGTGCTCCGCTTCACCTACAAACCCTGTAACCATACAAACATTATGTGTGCTTTTCTTCACTTCGAACCCCTGTAACCATGCAAACCTTATATGTGCTTCGTTTCACTCACAACTCCTGTAGCCATATGCAAATCTTATATTTACTTTGCTTCACTTACAAACCCTGTAACCATGCATATCTCATATTTACTTTGCTTCACTTACAAACCCTGTAACCATACACATAAGCACTAGCAAATAAGATCGGCATCAGTGTATGTACTTGTGTACATCACTGTGTCAATCTCACCTCTTGTGATGCCTTATGCGCGAGCAAGTGTCTATTTGAGCATATCCCGCGCTGGTGTGTTGAATTATCTAGTCCTACAGATACTTGGAAAACATCCTTCGGAAACATACCAGTGCAAGCGTGAGCGTGAATTCAGTTGTACCTGTTTATGCATGAACATGAATACAGGTGTAGTTATGCACAGCATCTTCAGGTCATGCAATAGTCGCGCTGTGATTGCTGGCGGGCATACCTTCAAATCTGGTATATCACAATGACGCCTTAGTAGTGGTGTTTAATGTGTAGTGGTGTTTAATGACACTCTAACACTGACTTACCTTCAGAGGACGATGTAGACGACTGGGAGGCACGCGATGATAGTTCTGAAGATGTTGACAGCTGGGAAAGCCGTGCTTGAAAGCAAGCAATGTAAGATACTGTCACATCAGTATGCAGGAAGGCCGCGGCTGCAAGTGTTGGTTTAAATAGATACAATCCCAGAGACTCCGCATATGTCATCACAAGACTGTAATATAGTAAACTACTGGAAGCAATGCGATGGCAGTGGCACTGGTGGGCCTATCTCTAGAAGCCTGACTTTGGTTGCCCAAATTAATGTCCATAGCAGAATGAATTTAAGTCAGAACATTGCGAGCCTACCTCTGAAGTTCGATTATTCGAAGCTGCATTCTCCGACTACCTTCTAGATTTGTTGTTGTGTGAAGCACTAAATGCAAACACATATGTGGATATGAGATTGTTGCTTCGCGAAAAGACCTTGCTCTCTCAAAGCATCTGAGTACTTCCATTTCAGTCGATGATTGTTTTTCGGGCATCACAATGCGGCTAGGCTGTACTTATCCGACATTGACGTTGGAAATAGTATTTCGGGTTGCATACTCTGCAGCTTTTGCTAAATAAAGGGACATCCTACCTAAGATCGTAGCGTCAAAAGGCAATGTGTGCAGGTCAGACTGTGACATTGGAGTGAGGTATAATATTGGTATTTATTATTTCATTGTCAATCAAAAAAAAATCCTTATACTAAATTGTTGATACATCTCCCACCCATGCTCGCAAACTCACACCAGCTCGGAATGAAACTGAACACTCAACAACATCTGACAGACTTGAGTGGTCAAAACGTCATCCCCGGCATCTGCTGCACAGCATATCCCCATTGTGGTAGCACATTCAGTTGATTCGAGTGCACTGCCGTCCGACTCGGCTGCCATCTCCATACCAGCCACCACTATCCCGTAAACGGCACTATCACAGTAGCTGTCACCTGTGAAGCTTTTGTATGAGTCACTCTCAGTCAACGCAGTAATTCCAGCCATCGCCCCTGACGCACAGTCGAATCCAAATCGCCCCCTCTATGTCCCCTAGCACACTCCGACGTTGTGGAGGGATTGCGCCCGCATCTGCGAATTGTACAGTTTGCCCGACAAAGGCAACAGCGGTAAGGATTAGCTTGAATATATTTTATCTGAGTATGCTAATATCGACACTTATTTTGAGGATTTCTTATTTGGCTGGTGATTCGCCAAAGCTGTTTATTTATACCAATTCTGATGATCATCGGCAACACAACTCGTACTTGCTTCATACGATGATCATACTATCAGTCAATCTGAAATAGTTGACCGATATAGTGCAGTTGAATAAATCAATGACTTGTGGATGATCTATGTGTGATCTATAAAATCCAGTTGATACAGAAACAGATATAGGGAACAGAGGATTCGTGCAACCACTGAACCATGGCAGGAACACTGATGACTGAAGTCTGAACTACTCGAAATGAAAAGAGTCAAAAGACTAATAAGGTGCAATCGCTTTAAAATGATACAGGAAACGATTCTACTTCAGCCAGGCACAGCACACACTAATGGTGACCTGATTCGGACGTTTAATAGCGGAAAATGCTCACAAAGGACCTAAGTATAATAGGAAAGAGATTTGTTTTGCTCTCGTTAATTTTCAAGAAAACAAAATGAAATACGTATATATAATAATAAATAATGTAAAAGTCTAAAAAAAACAATTTGTTTCTAAAAACACCTCCTACATAACATACTATCCAATGAATAATAATATACATATTTCAGCAGCAGATGTAGAGCTATATATTTATATATACCAATAGAACTTTACCTTGAACCCCCCAAAAACTTCCTCTAACATTCCTACAATCTACATAATCTACATTCCTTCATTCCAGAATCCGAAATCTCAAATCTGCTGTGATTATTGAATAACTTTATTTCATCAAAGTTTATCACTGATGATCGACTGATCCACTGACCTACTGACCACTCACCACTGTGACCGGTGATTTTGTTATACGAGTACAGTGACAGTCACTGACTGGAAGGCTGGAGAGTGAATGACTGGAGGGCGGAGGCTTGTGATGATCATTGATCAAGCCTGGGCCATGTTGTGGGTGACTGGTCTTGAGATCCAGTGATTCCTGATCTGCAAATAAAATCAAATAAAACTTGAATATTGAGATATGTACTTATTACTCTTGGTCAATACTACAATTCTGTTACACAGCGCACATGCATATGCATTAGACCTGGGGAGAATCGAGAGACATGGATGATGACTTCATTCTTGTGCCGAGAAAACGATAGAACTAGTTCATCGTATTGTAGTGTAATACCTATATGGGCGGTGAATATAAATAGCATTATCGTTGACGCTGGTACATCAAAAATCAACAAAACGATAACTGAGAAATCTTACCGCTATGCTGAAATCATCTTTTACAATCGTCGTATGTTTTCTGCACGCGTTCTCCATCTCAGATGCGAACGCATTTCTTACACGGCGCCGGAGTGTGCTGGGGGACATTGAGGGGGCGATCGAAGGGGAAAATGTATTCGACTGTGTGTCAGGAGTAATCACTGCTCTGACTGAGAGTGACTCATACAAAAGCTTCACAGGTGACAGTTACTGTGATAGTGCCGTTTACGGGATAGTCGTGGCTGGTATGGAGATGGCAGCCGAGTCGGACGGCAGTGCACTCGAATCAACTGAATGTGCCACCACAATGGGGATATGCTGTGCTGCAGACGCCGGGGATGACGTTTTGACCACTCAAGTCTGTCAGATGTTGTTGAGTGTTTAGTTCCATTCCGAGCAGGCGTGAGTTTGTGAGCATGGTTGAAAGACATATCGACAATATAGTATTAGGAACTTTTTTTAGATTGACAATGAAATAGTAAATACCAATATTATACCTCACTCCAATGTCGCCTGACCTGCAATACATTACTATTTGACACTACGGTCTTACGTATGATGTCCCTTTATTTGACGAAAGCTGAAGAGTATGCAACCCGAAATACTATTCCCATCGTCAATGTCGGATAAGTACAGCCTAGCCACAATCAATGTTTTCTCTCCCATAAGGTATCTAGTGTAGTTACAAAAGTTGCGGAATCAACACTCGAAATCTTTAATGCTTCGCGTATACAATGGGTCATTGGAGAACGAGTTTAAACCCAAGCCATCTATTGCAGATACTAGAATTAATCGCGCAGACCCACACTCGTACAAATTTGCTAATTGCACACCAGGTATGTGTAATAATAGAGTTTATTTTGAAGCATGGCACACCGCAGGATTCTTCTGTTCGCGCTGACATTGAGAATTGATGTGCACCATGGGATGAATTCAGTATATGTATAGTAATTTATGTGTGCAGTGCAGTATGTAAAATAAATTTGTTTGTTAACTGCAGCAAGTACTTCAGGAATGTCCACGTAGTGGGCTTAAAGACAATATTCCATGAATTTGTATGTGTTTTTTTGAGCTAGCTTCCTATAGTATTATCCATGCCCGGACGATCCCGACAGGTTTGTGCACTAGCCAACCTGTAATACTTTCCGCACCCTTTCTATTAAATATTTGGACCGGGTCTATATTCTGGTTGTATATTTTGACGAACAACTTCTCATCATTGGGCAAATACCCGTGAACAGTTTTCGTTTCTTTTTGCCACCTTTCATAACGTATTGAGTATTCGACATGGTGCGTATTCAACATTGTCAATGCGTGTCTTTTGCAGTACATTGCACCTGATCGACCTTGTTCCCGCGGCTATGCGATGTTTTCTCAACTTGTTGCGAACGACTATGTACTTCATTTTGAAGCGGCAAGTCGACATCATTGTGTAAGCATCTGAGCACTTTCTTTTCAGTCTCGCTTTCGAAGTGCACTCAGCTATGAAAAAGCCCCAGGAAGCATTCATTTGTCTTCCAAAGTACATCTTCATTGTCATGATGTTAACTATAATAAGCAGCTCGACTTCACGGAGCTTAGAACATCTGCGACTGACCACCCAAGGTGGCGAAGCTCTGAGTGTTACTGTGGAGTTTGTGAAAATGACAGAGCAGAATGCAATAAAGAATGAGACTAGCGGACATCAGACTGGGTATCAGATGTGTGATGAATGAGCATTGCAGGTAGTTATGTCTTGGTACTACTTTGAAATACTCAAACGAACAGATCTACTAACGCAGAAGTCGACAGAAGTTTCCTCTACTGCATTTCAGTGAACTACCGATACCGGAAGGATTGATGAACTTTCTGATACTACATTGGTGTCATGAACTGTCATGAACTCGCGAGCCGACATCTCGCACAAGCACAGTGTCGCTCACACTCGTGAGAAACAATGTATGCTTGAAGTATACTCACATCGATAGATTCTCGTATCTCGAGATCAAACGTATAACACAAATAGAGTTGGTAGGTCCCGAACGTACACCGCTTCTTAATCAGCTCATGTATAAAGGTCCATTGTATATATATATATATATATACATATATATATATATATATATATATATATATATATATATACTACCTACCTACCTACGTAACGTACGTACGACTAACTAA